TGCACAACCAGAACCAACAGCGTCACATAATAATAAATAAATTACAAATTTTAATCAAAAAGTAGTTTTCGAATTTCATACTACTATATCTGGATGTTAGCAGTGCCAAGTAAAATTAAAGATGTGTTCGACATTCCAAATGGTATTATTTACCACCCAGCCTCTTCTTTGATTCCAAACTGCTGATAAAAGTCTTAATACTCTGCTGCTTTTGCCATGCCATTTGCTACTACTGTGATTCCTACTTTTGTACTACTATGCCTAAAAGCTAATACGCTTACTTGCATATCAGAATAAAATTGTAAACATCGGTGCTGTGTGCTGTTGCCAGATTGGCCATCTAACAATTAATAAAATTAAAGAAAAATTCCATGGCACTGATTGTCGGGAAAGGCAGAAAAGCCATACTTTTCCCACCTGCGACTCCAAACTACTAGATGACTCCTAAATCTTGACATCGCTGCCGTTCTTCTGAGGAACTCTCTGGAGGAACCCCAGCTACTCCGCCATTGTGCACCGGCTCTCCACTACGCTTTCCTTCCTTCCGGAGCCGGACTACTGATTTGGCCACCAGGAACACAAGACGGCATCTGGACGCTACGTTCGAATAAAATACTATAAAAAATTTTAATACCTTATTTTATTCAGCTACTACTCTATCTTCTTAAAGCCATTAACAAAAATCATCAACATGTGACTTTATTCCTTCACTCATCCCTGACGAATTCAAACTACAGACGTCTACGAATTTCTTCCGCTCTGGAGCACCGGCTTTTTAATACATTCCCCATCTTCTCGACGCTGGACCTCTGATTTGGCCACCAGGAACATAGGTCGGTGCCTTGACGCTACGTTCATACAAAAATGTACTTGCCGCTGCTACTATATAATATTCTACAGCTACTACTAAGTTATTATTCCACAAATTTCTTGACTCCTTAAATATGTTGATTCAATGTTATTTATATATCTTGCCCATTTATGTTTACGCTCACTTGTGACTCCTGTTTGCACCTGTGTCCTAGCTTTAGAAGCAGCTACTATCTTGTTACTCCGCCGCTGCGTACCGGCTTTTCACTACACTTTTCTGTTTCCTGGCGCTTGACCTCTGCTTGGCCACCAGGTTTATAGGCTGGCGCTTGGACGCTAAATTCATATGAAACAATTTATAACTTAATTAATTCTGATTTTGTATTCATCTTTTATTAAGCCTGTATAAATTTAAGTCACTCTAATGAATCCGTTTATATTATTATTCAATGTTACTCCAAATTTTGTTCTTGAATGTTTACATTTCTGTTAGTGATTCATTTACATATAAGCCTGTTAATAATTGCTTCGTACCTTTATTTAATATTTGTATAAAATGTATTAGTATAAGTAGTTACTGTATGTTAAACAAATAAAAAGCTGAACCCGCTCTAGCAGCGGTAACAGTGCTATTGGTGCCCATCGCAGGCATGCATTGAAAGATGAGTCTGCCATTAATGACTTGTCTGTGGGGGACCCAGCCACGCACGGCTCTATTGACCGTGCCCAGATGAACAAGCCGCTGTTAATTCATCTGTGAAGGACCCAGCCATGCGCGGCCCTATTGACCGTGCCCAGATGAACAGGCCACTGTTAATCCATCTGTGAAGGACCCAGCCACGCGCGGCCCCATTGACCGTGCCCAGATGAACAAGCCACTGTTGATCCATCTGTGGAGGACCCAGCCAACCGCGGCCCTAATGACCGTGCCCAGATGAGCCTTCCATTCTGTTTACGGCCCATCTGTGGATGACCCAGCCATGCGCGGCCCCAATAACCGTGCCCAGATGAGCCTTCCACTCTGTTTATGGCCATCTGTGGATGACCCAGCCACGCGTGGCTCAATGACCGTGCCCCGAGGAACCAGCCATCGACGACCCTGCCATCATTGATCCCAGCCATCGTTGACCCCCAGCCATTGATGACCCCCCGCCATCGACGAACCAGCCAAGGAAAATTTGTCCCGCCATGTTTTCTGTTGTTTGATTTAATTTGAATTTTAATTCAAATTTATCGATCGCAGGACGATCCATTTATTTTGTCTTAATTTTAATTTTTGCCATGTTTTCTAAAAATTCTTGTTTTGCTATGTTTAAATTAATTTTTGCCATGTTTAAATTAATTTTTGCCAATTTTGTTGTTTACATGAAATTTGAATTTTTGAATTTTTGCCAATCTTAATTTTAATTTTTAATTTTTGCCATGTTTTCTAAAATTAATTTTAATTTTTTTTGCCATGTAATCAATATTGTAATGCAATTGCTGGTCTGGCGCGGTGGCAGCGCAGTCTGCCATGACCTACCCTACACAAAAATGTTGCCACCTAGGTAATGAGTCGTAGTGGTATTGGCTGCGCTGCCCCGCTCTCCCGCTTTCCCGCCCACTCCAGTTTGAGCGTCGTGGGCTGCGGACGTGCCTAGCGATCGACCGGGCGGGACGCGACGAGCCAGCCAGCCTGAGAGGCTTCAGCGAGAACAGCCAAACAACCACAGTCAATAAACATAACAAATACAATTAACAAAAAAAAAAAAAAACCGCCCATCCTGAACACCGCTGCGCGGCGGGCTCATGTGCTCACCTTTGCCTCGGGAGCCGTTACGTTAAACGTTGACTTCGTCTTTCCACTCGATGATGGAGCTCTGCCCCTCACTGCCTTTCCATTCGTCCACTGGTGCTCCGGGGACCGTTACGTTCCACGTCGATTCCGTCCTCCCACTGGGCGATGAAACCTTGCATTTCCATTTGTCTGCTGGTGCTCCGGGAACCGTTACGTTCCACCTTGATTCCGTCTTCCCACTGGGCGATGTAACCTTGTCTTTCCATTCGTCTGCTGCTGCTCCGGGAACCGTTACGTTCCACCTTGATTCCGTCTTCGTACTCGATGGTGACACCCTACCCCTCCCCGTTCGTATTGGTCCTTGGCCTATCTCCCGCGGCCCCCTAATGATTGGCCATTGCTGTCTTAGCGTGTGAGGAGACTAATTCTCCTCACACTGCGTTGCACACTTTTGACCAAAACTATAATACCCTCTGCAAGGGTATAAAAATCTGAACTCTCTAACTCTAAAACAGTGGTGGGCAAAACTAACACATGTTTAAAATTTGAGTGTGTGCGTAGCAGAGAAAAACAATGATAGCAGAGAATTCACTGAGCGAAAAAAACGTATTTTTTTATTTCATTTTTCGTTAATTCAAAAGTTTCAATGGGCACTAAAATTAAGTATTTTATTTTAAAAAAAGCTTTGCTAGCAACATTTCTTAAACAAATGAAAAACTACGCTTCCCTATCTATATTGAAGAAGAAAACCATGAAGAAAACTTTTTCCAACCCAATTTTTGTGAAAATTTTTCGAAGTGGTACAATTTTGATTTTTAGTTTGGGCTGTCAAATGAATCAAAATGAGGGCAAATGAGAGAGCTTCTTAAAAAAAATTTGAGAGTGCTTACACTATCAGTGTGCCGGCAGCGCTGCGGCAAAATTTCCTACCCTATACTCGCGTGCTATGTAAAATGAGAGTTTGCCCACCACTGCTCTAAAAACACCAAAGTTATTCCATTTCCGATCAATCAGTTATTTTCCGTTATTTCAAATACGTATTTTTAATAAGGAACGTGGTAATGAGTGGAAATTTTAATTTTTCTTTGATATATAAACATCTATCTAACAGACTAGAAAACAGAAATGCATTTAGCTTTATTCATTTAGCTAAAAAATTATACTAAGTTAAATTATTTTTTATTTGACCTGAAAATAAAAATAGAAACAAAATGACTAATCTTTATCCAAATTTACTAGTGTAGCAAAATAGACCATGAAATGTTTTCAGTTAGAATATTATGTTGCGTTACCATGGTTTTTCAAAACTGCAGCACACATTTTTTAGGATGCCCCACAAATGCTCAATAGGGTTTAAATCGGGTGACTGAGCTGACCAATCCATAAAGTCGATTTAATTGTCCTAAAATCAATTTAAAATAAATATCCACTTTAAAGGCATTCAAATATTCCTCTTCGGCATATGTTAACATAACGTCCTGCATTATGTTTTACATAGTCTGTAGAACACATATTGCCTTGTACCCAATAAAGTGGATCAACACCTGAAGCAGAGAAACATCCCCATAGCATTATATTGCCGCCTCCTTGTTTGATTGTCTTTTTTTGTTTATTTGGGATCGAATGCTGTGTTTTTTGGGCGTCTAACATGGGATCTACCATCAGATCCAACAAATCAATCTTTGTCTCATACGACCAAAGGATGTTTTTCCAGTTCTGGCGGGTCTTTTGGTTTTTGGTAAAGCAGAGTCGCCTTTCGATATGCCTCATGCTCATAAAAGGAACTCTTCCCACTGAATGCTCTTTCAAACCACGCTCAATTAGTCTGTTGCGAATGGTGTGACTCGTTACGGTTGCGTTTAGTTTTTTAGATCCTTTGAAAAAAGGAAAGGCTCCTTCTTCGACTTCCTTATAAGGGTCGTGTCAAATTTCGTGGATTTTGCTCCATTTCTGCCAAGTTTTTCCTGTTTATCTGTTTATCATTCCAATAGTTTGACAATTCGTCCCAACGATTGGGCTTCTGCTTTTAATGTGAGGATTAGATTCCTCTCTACTGCGGTGCAATGTGCTCCACGACCCATTTTCAAGCTTTTAATTCTACCAAATACCATACCATTTCTACCAAGTAGCATTTCTACCAAATACCATTTCCGATCGTTCAGTTATATGGCAGTTATAAGACATAGTCGACAGATCGTTATGAAATAGGTCGCATAAACTGACCAAATATATACTCTGTACTAGCTTTCCAGCTTTCTATCTTCAAAAACACGAAAGTTGGGTCATTTCCGATCGTTCAGTTATAAGGCAGCTATAGGATATAGTCCTTATAGGCCGATCCTTATTAAATCTGGCATGTCGTGTTATTTTGCCAAAATAAGCTCTCCTGTAAAATTTGAACTCTATATCCAACTCTATATCTATCCAACTTAGGCTGGATCCTACCCTAGTTTATTTTTATTTGATAACAGTTTTTTTAGAATTGCATAATTAAAATTTTTTACATTTGACACTTTTAATCATCGAAACTAGAGGAAAGGAGAAAATTGGCTGCCAACTCTTCATTCTTTTCGCAGGCAAAGTAAGCTTGCAACACAAGTGCTTCTGGAAATCCGAGCGCTTTTAGCTGTTAAAATAATCAAAAATCAAATAGTTATATATATCATTAAACACAGATATTTATATTTATATGTACCCTTTCTATTGCTTCTTGATCTTGTGAATTTAAACTGATAGTAGCGACGCCAGGTTGTTCAAAGCCATCATTTCCTCCAGTTTGATTTTCTCTTAATTCATTTGTTCCAAGGCGTTGCGCCGCTACGGCTCCCTCTAATTCTGATGAGAATACACGACGGCGTCGGTTAGAGGAAGTGCGAGGAACGGCGTCTCCTGTTCCTGATTCACTTTCAATAGGTTGATTAAGCATATTTAAAAAAGCATCCTGATTCTCCGAAATGAGTTGCAAGAGAGCTGGGTTTGTTTGACCAATCTATATAAGAAAAATTGCTACTATATATAAAACAACATAAACACAATTTAATGTCTCTTACCTGCTGCAGAACATCATGTAAAAGTTGCGGATTTTCATATATTAATGAGCGCAACTGAAGAAATTGTGGCTGGCTACGCATAAATTCAAAGGGATCTAAGAAATTAAAAAAAAAAAAAACATTTAAAACAAGCAAAGTAACAAGTCGGGTGTGTCAAAAAGTATAAAACAATTAATTTACCGTAAACGTTCAGGTATAATAACAAAAATATGTATAAAAAAAATGTCTTGCAGTAGGTATATTATATTTTATAGCTTTACCTGAGAGACTAGTTTGCATAGAAACAGACAGACGGACATGCTCATATGAACTCAGGAGGTGATCCTGATCAAGAATATATATACTGTATAGGGTAGGAGATGCCTCCTTCAATGCATTGCATTTTGACCAAAATTATAATACTCTCTGCAAGGGTATAAAATATAATATTTAAATTTCACGGTTAAGTGTAGTTTCGAGTTGAATCAGTTTTTTCCTGATTTAATTTATTCAATTTATTTTAAGTGTGTTGTGAAGTTTTAATACCGAGTGTGCTTAACGGTTCACTGTTTTTACAACCTACAGGTCCGATTCGTCACATATGTATGTGTGTATATGTGACATTATTCATTAGTTTATAAGGAGAAAATATTTTGTAAAATTACCTAATGAGAAACCAGCTGACTGCCCGATATAAGTTTCGGGTACATTTTGCGTACCAGGTTGTGCTGAACTGGGATTCGTAGATTCTTCTTCAACATTAAATATGTTTTCCTCTTCCTCAGGTATGCCATTAACTAAGTATTCCACTGCTCTTTCTGGATTATTAAAACTTGCTGACATTGCCCGTTCTACATGCTCACGTGGATAGCCCATTTCAACCATTGATCGAACCGTTTGGGTGTAATCGTCGCCCATTAGTAAATTTGATTCGGCGCGTGATTGTAACGACGCATTTTCCAATTCAACGACTAAATCGTTACTCTGTATCGTTGCATTAGTAGAAGAAGCGGTGGTAAAAGATGGATTAGTAGAACCACAAAAAGTTTTTGTACTTTCTGAACTTTCTAAAGGTAACGTATGTGTATTTGGAAAGCACGTTTGATTTTTATCCGCTTCCTTAATGCGCGTTTGACATGTTGAACTTGCTGTATCTCGGGTCAGCATTACCACAACAAACTTCTTTTCGTCAACATTATATGAGCTAATAGTATGATCATCCACCAATATAACACCTGCATAAATTAGTTTTTGCTTTTCAACAATATACTCGGAACCGCGAGCATCGAATATTTTCATTTTCAATTCCAACACCTGAAAAGGATTTTAATAAAATATGTAATTTTTATTAAACTTTATATATAATCACATGTGCGCTAAATATTAGTCAAATGGGACAATTTTTTGGTTTTGCGTCAGAAAATAAATCATATGCAGCGGAAAGTAAACCAAAATGCGTAAAAATTTATTAAACTCGTCAATTTGTTCCCTCAGTAAACTTTAATTAATACTAATATCCATGTAAATATTCCAATAATAAGTTATTTATATTTATACCCCTGCATAAAGTATTATAATTTTGGGTCAAAAGTGTGAAAAGCAGTGAAGGATACATCTCCGACACTCTGAAGCAGTGGTCGGCACTCAATACATTGATATGATTTTAATGCATTAGTATTAGTAAGGAACAGCAGAAAGTAGGCTGCAAGTTTGTCATTTTATACGTTCTACACTGTGTGTGAGCGGCTGAAATCGGGCAGAGAAATTTCCTTGGGAATCGGCAATCAACATCATATAGCTGTCATATAACTGAACTATCGGAAATGGTATTTAACAAAAATTTGGTATTTTAGAGTTCGAATTTTGGGACTTTTCTTTTCTTTTCTTTATTTTAATTTTTGTTTATACCCTTGCAGAGGGTATTATAATTTTGGTCAAATATGTGCAACGTAGTGAAGGAGACATCTCCGACCCTATAAAGTATATATATTCTTGATCAGGATCACTTCCTGTGTTGATATGAGCATGTCCGTCTGTCTGTTTCTACGCAAACTAGTCTCTCAGTTTTAAAGCTATCGACTTGAAACTTTGCACACGCCCTTCTTTCCTTAGCACGCAGTGTAGAAGTCGGAACGGCCCGGATCGGCCGACTATATCCTATAGCTGCCATATAACTGATTGATCGGAAATGGTATTACTTTGGTGTTTTTAGAGTAAGAGATTTTACATGAGCGCTATTTTTGGCAAAATAATACGACATGCCAAATTTCGTAAGGATCGGCCGACTTTATCCTATAGCTGCCATATAACTGAACGATCGGAAATGACCCAACTTTCGTGTTTTTTAAGATAGAATGCTGGTACAGATTATATTTTTGGTCAGTTGATCCGACCTACCAAATTTCATAAAGATCGGCCGACTATATCCTATAGCTGCCATATAACAGAACGATCGGAAATGGTTTTTGGTAGAAATACCAACTTTGGTATGTTTGAAGATAGAAGTTTGGGACTCTTTTTAGATTTTGTATTGTAATAAATTGGATTATATATTCATATTCCCATAAGGATCGGCCAACTATATCCGATGTTTGCGATTTATATCCGGTTTTAACTGCAAGGGTATATAAACTTCGGCTGCGCCCGAAGTTAGCTTTCCTTTCTTGTTTAAGGTACTTTTAGGTACATATAATACATTAAGGTACGTTTCTAGGTGAATGTGACTTCAAGTTTTTCACAAGCCGTCTGTTTCTAATTGTGAGACTAGTAACTGATTCCTGCAAGTTCCTTTTTGAGCTCCTCCGATTATAGGAATGGGTTTTTTTAGTAAAAAAAAAAAAACCTCCTCCGAAAACACTTTTTTTAGTAAGTACTGCTTTGTCTGAGAAATGTCCCTTAATGTTTTCCCCTCATTCTTTAGGTTTTTCGTTTAATATCTCTTTCTTCAGCAGTGCAATGCAATCCGCGACCCATTTGGATATAAAATACCAGTTTGTTCCTGAATTTGGACGAAATGTTTAGTTTTGCGACAATATTACATTAAAATAACTGAATTATACCTTTGTTTTAAACAAAAAACGAGACTAAGCTGAAGTTTCGGAGTAATTTGGTAGTGTTTCTGTCGGGTTAGGCAGCAACACAGCGGTCTAATGTTTATGTTTAAGTATGTTAATATAATGTTTAGTGTAATGTTTATTTATTAGGCTTAAGGATGTACAAATAGCTTTGATCGCAAGACGACCCTCTCTCGGCCGCTCGACTCAACGGTCTTTGTTTAGAAAGTTTTAACTCGCAGTGTCTAGGTCGGGCCGCCCTCTCCATTATCGAGAGCTTTAGCTTCGCAGTGACCAGTCGGGCCGCAGCAATAAACATCTATAACGTTTTAAATTATATAAATTCGTCTTTTATTTACGGCATTAAAAAATGTCAATTTCTCAATTTCAACCAGTTTCTATTTTTTTTCCAGCAAAAAAAAAAGTGGAAACAAATTAGGAATTTTCGCCACAAATAAAGGCAAAAAGGATTTAAAAAGGGCTGCAGAATAAAGTTCAGATATCACTTATGTGTGTACTTTTAGTTTTAAGCCGTTTCCTACATACTTAACGGTCGGGTTAAATGTGCAGAAATGTGAAGATAGAGAGTGAACGACTACAATACTTGCTAAATATTTTAGTATAAATAAATGTAGTAAATATTGTATATATGCATATTAAGCATTTTGATAAATTGTTTATAAATTGAAAAATAGATTATTATAATATTTCCCCCTCGTGGATTAAGACCTTGTCGTGGTTAGGGGCTAAAGATGTGGGGATTCATAATAAATATCCCGGAAACCAGCATAAATCGTTTTAACTAGTTTATGGCAAAAAATGTCTAATGTCTAAAAATGGAGAGTCATATCCAAAAAATCTATTTTTTCAATAACAAATTTATTGATTTTAACGAAAACTTAGAGAAGTCTCAGATATGGGTTTGTCAGCTTTGGGATGTAGTCGGGCCGTTCCGCCCTAAACTGACGCTTGATCGGTAGTTGATTTTTTAAAAAAGTGATCCTGATCAAGAAAAAGGTCAGAGATCAAGAGGTAGAAAAATATTGCAGTTTGAAAACATTACCATTTGAAAATACTTCACCAATTTGAAATACTTTGTAGATTCCAATTTAAAATTTTTAACACTTTTTTTGCTTTATAAAAATTGACATGGTTTAATCTAATATAACCATTTCGTAGGTATGTATAACCAGAGAGATATGTAACCATTTTTTTTTATATAAATATTGTAATTTCATATATTTTTATGTCATTTAACCGCATATGTAGATATGAACATAAATATATAAAACATAAGATATTTGATGTACATATGTACATTCATTGGGCTATAGTTTCTTCTGTTCCCATGTATGTAAGTGCATATGTATATATGCAAATATATAAAAATAAATATATATGAATGTGCATATCTAAATGTGTTTCGTCCGTTTCCCTTAAAGCTGCTTATTAATTTGTATTTTCAAATCGTACGTCATTGCTTCGAAAAATATTTTATTTATTTACACATTTATACAAAGCTTAAAAACGACAGAATATACAAAAAATAAATATTTTTATGTACATATGCAATGTGTATCGTATTCAAGCACTTACTGTTTTTTCAGCATCAAAATCAATAGTAAACGTCTGCTGCTGAAGATTTTTTATTGTGATAATCATGGTTAGCTGCTTTCTTTCTATTTAAATTTATAAAATGAAAACTCGATAGCATTCCATTCAAATATTAAATTTTTCATCCAAGTCGTCATGAAAGTGACGAATAATCGAGCCAAACACGATTAATTTAATCAAATCCGCTAAGTTAACGTCAATATGAATTATTAAAATTTGGAACGGTGTTAAATTATGGGCTAGTACTCAGATCGAATAACATTTTTGCCGAGTAAATACATTTTTTGTTTGCAGTGTGAACGCTATTTTTAAGTTAAAAATATATTTAATGTCCCTCCTAAAATTGATTTGAATTTACAAATAGACATTGTAGGAAAAAAAGCAGATTTAAATAGGTCTTCCATTGTGTAACTCACAACGTGACTTTGGCAAGCATTTTATTGAATTTCTGCATTATTACAACAAAAAAGGTTATAAAAATTTTAATCTTTTCGCTAGGAACCTGTAAAATGTTGGGATCTCCATGTAAATTTCTGGTATTTTTCATTTTTTTTTTTTTAAATACGGGTTGGCGAAAAGACCCTGTCATAAACTCTCTCTGTCCAAACCAGTGGAGGGCAAACTCAAACGCAGCGCTGCGGGACACTGACAGTGTGAGCGCTCTCATTTTATTTTAGAAGCTCCCTCATTTGCTCTTATTTTGACTATTTGACAGCCCAAACTTAATGCCTAGTACTCCGACGAAGAAAATCCGCTGTAACACGTGTTACTGCGGCCAAACTCCATATAAAAAAACGGTGTGAAAAAAGGAAGAAGAAGAAATTGTAGCCTCCTAGATTTTGCCGGTACTCTAACGACGAGAACGATGGCTGTCAAATTAAATGGCGTTGCCGGATCAAAATAATAAAAAAGCTGATCTCGGGGTGTAAAAATAATTCATTTAATTTATTTTGACACCCCACATATTGAAAGAGCGAAAATTGAACGAGAAGTATTAGAGAGAGAGAGAGAGAAAGAGAACAGCTGTTCAGTATTACCCTTTTCCTTAATATTTTTGGTTACCCTAGCTCGGTAGCCAAATAAAAAGCGATTTCGCTATCACACGTGCTACAGCGGATTTTCGTCGTCAGAGGCTTTAAGTTTGGGCTTAAAAATCAATATGTTTCAACTGAGAAAAATTTCCTCAGAAATTGGGTTGGAAAAAGTTTTCTCCATAGAAAACATAGATAGGGAAGCGTAGTCTTTCTTTTGTTTAAGAACTAAAGTAAAAATAAACTAAAGGTTGAAGTAAAATACACTATGTTAACGGATTTGTCGCATATAATTATATTTGAAATTTTTTGAAGTTGTTTCGATTTGAATTGTATTTGTGGTTGTTAGTCTCTAAATTGACTTTAAGATAGCTTAGGGCGGAGCGGGAGCGAAAACTTTTGTTTAATTTGGTTTTCAGTGTCACAGGGCAGGCTTAACAGTTTGACAATTTAAAAGTCAACAATTCAATTGGGGAGCCAGAGGAGAGTCGACCGCCGCCGCCAAACTATAAATCTCTTGTGGGAGACATGGCATGGAGAGATTGCCGAGTTATTACCATAAGGCAACTTTTAGTCCGACAATCTCTCCAAAGTGAGAGTACATAGCGGGAGAAGGCGGATGACAGGATGATTCGATGATTCCAAGGATTGACTCGGCGGCATGGCACCGGGTCTCCCTCACTGCAGTCAGGGCCGAGAACAAATTGGGAAGTACAGACATCCATCGCAGTCGTATAATAATAATTAGATACCACAGGTACATGCTACTTGGGTATCACTTTGTCGGGTTCCAGGGCTGGGGAGAACATGACTCGCAGGGGGTGGCAGCTCTCTCAGATTACATAGAAGAAGAAGCATTCCAAAAGTGTTACAATTTGCGACAAAAGAAACACAAAATGACGATGAAAACATTTAGTCAGGACATGGCGACATGGACATAGGAGAACATTAAACCATGGTCCCTTTCATAACATTAAAGGTCTGAGGACGCATCAAGGGACATGTAAAAAATGGCAGATAAGTATTCTATGTTTACATTCTTCTTCTTCTAATGGTTTCTTTCTTGCAGCTAAAGTTCCAGAGTAAATTCAAGTCAAGTTGGATTTGAAAAAGTGCCCCCCCCCCTTAGCCTATTAATAACTGACCCAGCTTATGGTCCCCATACCAAGCCATGGGTACTGCGGGACAAAAGAGCCAAAATCCAAGTGAGTACACGCATTATGAAATTCATGTTTGTGCCCCACTGAATTTGAGAAAATTTAGCAGGTTAAAAAATTTTGAACTTCCCGAGATCCCGCAGTCACGAATTCAGGAGTGCCAGGACCTGGATTTTTTTTTGTTCAGCGCCAAGCCAGAGTCACCAAGGGACTGTTGGCCAACTTTCAGGTGAGTAGTCAGGATTTAAGATCAACTTTCCTGCAGCGCTGAAATTCCGAAATTTCAGGTTGTTTACGTGAGGGGCCGTTGTGCCACTCAGCTGAACTTAAGAGCGCATCCGCGCTGAAAAGCGCACCCGCGCTTAAAAGCTCATCCGTGCTGAAGAGCGAATCCGCGCTCACCCCTCTATGCATTTGCCTCTCTCGTCGGCCGTCGTCGATCGGCCAATCTGGTTTATATTTACGTTTAGCGTTTATGCTTTCTAAGTTAAGTTCAGTATCCAATGTAAGCAGCCCAATAAAGCTGAACGCGTTTCTTTTGTAAATTTAACGAAGACGCCCCCGACTTTTTATTTCAACTTTACTCCTGGAACCTTTTGCGGCAACAACGCTCCCCTACAAACATTTGGTCCTTCGAGCCGGATTATTCCTGGATTTTCTTCTGCCAGCAGTTCCCGGCATTGTTCCGCCAAAAGATAAGACATTTTTCCGTCTTCTCTCTGCCGGTCTTCAGCAGTGGTCCGAACATTAAATTTTGTTCACACTGCTGCAAGATTGTTTTTCCCTCCGTGTCAACTCCAAGTCCGAGTTTTTCAACACGACGGCAGTTTCAGTTTTTCTTCAAATTCTTCAAACTTTTCCATCCGCCTCCGTTTTGTGTGCTGCCCATACTCCTCGCCGTTTTCGGCCTCTACGTTATCCATTCGCTTGCCAACGGTCGAGCCATATGTGCATCCACATAGATACATACACACATAGATACTTACATATTTTTTTGGTGCAATTAATCCGCGAAAAATTCGCAAGTGAACAGTGAAATTGTGTGGTGAAAAAGAGAAGGCATAATTAATATTGGCCAGCCAGTGTGAATTAGTTCCGGAATTTCCAAATTCACCGAACAGTCCGCTGCTGTCGTAATATTTGTTTTTATCTTCCCCAATCAGTGCCATTTTTTTACACCACATAACTTTTCTGTTCCCCCAATTATGCAGTCCACTTATCAACGCTCCACTGTGCCAACATATGCCCACATGCCCTTACAAATATCCGTACCTGCAAGCATGTCCATATATGTATTTTCTGCCTCCAATTCCAGGAAATATAAAACCGATAAAATTTAACATGTACAGTCCACTTATCGACGTTCCACTGTGCCCCACATGACCTTGCCCTACTTGCATGCATGTCCATATATTTCCAAATATTTTCTGCTTCCAATTTCAGGAAATATATAACCGATAAAACTAAAAAAAAATTTTTTAAATTTCCTAAAACCAACATTTATAAACCGCCAATTATAAACCGCCATTTCACTCAAAATCCGTGATTGTGTCGCTTAAATTCAGACCTAGCCGTGTTGTGTTTTTTGGTGCTGTTTTTTTCCTTTGGGGTACGTACAGGGTGCCGACGGCATAATCGGCTGCGTAACAACTACCTTTAAAAAAAAGGAATCAATTAATTATAAATTTATATTTATAATTTTAACCACCACAATTTATTTAATTATTACTTCTGTTCGAGCGAAGGGCCAGGTTTGTTTTAAGTCACCTTTCCGGCCATGATACAATTAAAATTATTTTAACAAAAAAAAGTAATAATCGAAAATTATTAATAATTTAATTATCAACCTTCTGTCCGAATAGAGCCGCGGTTTTAATTCCACCATTCCGGCTTCGGGATAATTAAATCAAATTAATTAAAGATTAAGGTTTCAGCTCCACCCTTCCATAATAATTAAATCCGACAATTAGTCAAAAATTAATTATTATTGATTATTTATTTTTTTGTGTTAAATACAAGCCAAGGTCAAGTCCACCTTTCCAACTCCGCAAGTTCGAAAAGAGTTAAGAATTCAATATCTACGTAGGAACCACACTTGTATACATATACATATATACATATACAGTTCGTCATCAATTTGTTTTTTGAACGAGCACGAATTTTTCTTTACTTGTCCATTTTTTGTGCCCCAACGCTGCTTGTACTCCGCATCAGGCAACATCCGCCTACAATCTGAGCAAACCTCGTCTTCTTTTGGGTTTTTTTTCTGGTTCCTGAAGTTCTTCTTTCCACATTCGAATTGTGCCGCACACGACTTTCCTTTCGACATCGGCGCCACTAGTTCGCACTTGCTCCTTGTAATTGCATTTCATCCGCGATCTCACCGTTCTCATCACATTAGTGCGACCGGCCACCACTTCGCATGAGGTACCTGTTGCGCAAGTCAGTCGACAAGCGCTGACCAGCGAATTAGACTCTGAGAATGCCCACGGGAGACGATAAAAAACCGCGTTCGATCCCAGCCATCCGTTTGGACAGATCTCAATCCGCATCTCCGCGGACGCCGCTTTTGAAGCCTAAGGCTACCAGTGCCAGTCCAAGGGCAAAGAGTGACGAATCCGTCAATACAACCCCCAGTCCTTCACAGAGGCAGACTCGCTCCGTTGCAAAAATGGCTCCAAGTGCGGTCGAAGTGGCGTTGAAAAAGTTCATCGCCACAACAGATTGAATAAGCCAATTTGAGGCTAACATAAATACTCCGGGCGCCCCAGAAACGGAAATAGGCTCCCAATACATGTGCGAAGTCCATCGGGACCAAATTCGGGCACTATGGGAGAAGGTGGAAAAGAGCTATAAGAGCTGCTCCGATTTGCTAGCCGTGTCCGACGTCAATGCGGCCGCCTCGACAGTGCTGGAAGCGAAGTACAGCTACTATTACTCCGTCTATTCGAGGTGTATTGCCCAGCTTCGGGAGAAAATTGCCTCACAATCC